AGATGTTAGACTCCTTTGGGAACATCGTGTTACCGATTATGCTCAGTTTTGTTGGAAATTAGGTCCTTAGCGTTTGCGCGTTTGGGAACTAAATGACTTTTAATCCGATAGTTTTGGCATATTAATCTATTGTTTTTCTTTATAGAGTGTCACATTGCAATTTCATGTCAAACAGAAACGTGTGGATTTTTCAGTTGGCCTGTGTTGTGTATCTATGTGGATAACGTTAAAGCTGTATTGCCGATACACCATGGAGTGGTTGTGGATAAGTGAGGTTTCAAACAAGAGTGCTGAAAACTAATATAAAAACCATGTCAGGTTAGATCAATAGAGAATGTGTAGATATTTAACCCCTGGTGTCATCGCTGCTGAATAGGTTTACTTATAACAAATAGTCGATTCTAGTTACTCTCTGATGTATCTTCGTATCTACGAGTGTAGGCTTCATTTATGTCGCTAAAGAATATTTATTGTACTGGGCCCTTATTCTCGAAACGTTCGTAGCCCTAAGAATTCTTAACTTTGATTGTAGCCAATGTGTTAAGAATGGGCTTAAGAAGTTCGTAAGGCTACGAACGTTTCGAGAATTGCTAGCCTGGACTACTGGTGTATTGTAGTAGTTCACGGAAGCCATTTTCTAGTTCATGTCGATACATTTTCAAGCAGTGTAATTTAGTAGTGCATGAAAGCCACTTTGTACATGTAGTTCCTTTCGATACATTTTGAAGCTATGTAGTTTAGTAGTGCATGAAAGCCATTTTCTAGTTCATTTCGATACATTTTCAAGTAATGTAGTTTAGCGGTACATGAAAGCCATTTTCTAGTTCATTTCGATACATCTTCAAGTAATGTAGTTTAGCCGTACATGAAAGCCACTTTCTAGTTCATTACGATACACTTTCAAGCAATGTAGTTTAGTAGTGCATGAAAGCCATCTTTGTAGTTCATTACGATACACTTTAAAGCAATGTAGTTTAGTAGTGCATGAAAGCCATCTTGTAGTTCATTACGATACACTTTCAAACAATGTAGTTTAGTAGTGCATGAAAGCCATCTTGTAGTTCATTACGATACACTTTCAAGCAATGTAGTTTAGCTGTACATGAAAGCCACTCTGTAGTTCATTACGATACACTTTCAAGCAATGTAGTTTAGTAGTGCATGAAAGCCATCTTGTAGTTCATTACGATACACTTTCAAGCAATGTAGTTTAGTAGTGCATGAAAGCCATCTTGTAGTTCATTACGATACACTTTCAAGCAATGTAGTTTAGCTGTACATGAAAGCCACTTTCTGCAGTTCATTACGATACACTTTCAAGCAAATGTAGTTTAGTAGTGCATGAAAGCCACTGTGTAGTTCATTACGATACAGTTTCAAGCAATGTAGTTTAGCTGTACACGAAGGCCACTTTGTAGTTCATTACGATACAGTTTCAAGCAATGTAGTTTAGCTGTACACGAAGGCCACTTTGTAATTCATTTCGATTCACTTTCAAGCAATGTAGTTTAGCTGTACATAAAAGCCACTTTGTAATTCATTTCGATTCACTTTCAAGCAATGTAGTTTAGCTGTACATAAAAGCCACTTTGTAGTTCATTACGATACACTTTCAAGCAATGTAGTTTAGCTGTACATGAAAGCCACTTTGTAATTCATTTCGATTCACTTTCAAGCAATGTAGTTTAGCTGTACATAAAAGCCACTGTGTAGTTCATTTCGATTCACTTTCAAGCAGTGTAGTTTAGCTGTACATAAAAGCCATTCTGTCCGTGCAAAAGTGTCATGTACTCAATGAACTGATGTAACTCTCTAGGTAAAGAGCAGGGATATAAATTACAATGACAGAGGTATGAAATACGAACAGTGTCCGTGTAGTAGGTGTTACATCAAACACTTTTCATTGAGACAGAGAGAGAGTTGGTGTGTCCTTTGCCCTGATAAGTCATGCGGAAGTTAAGGTTTCTCATATAAAACACGGTTAATTTTCAGACACTCTGCTTCGATAATTTCATTGAACGAAATTACGTGCTTCAAGGATTGTGCAATTACATCACCCATTGTTGATCGCGAAGAGCGTCACTAGGAGGTCTTTGGGAAATATGTGTGAGGAATGTAACAGTGTTAAAGAACATTATATTTCTCAGCCGGTTGCATTCATTAATCAGGCATTTACTGAGCCTGGATGGGAATTTCTAAAACTGATGAAGAGAGGTCGTTGGCGCTAATGAACTCTCCCTCTTACTCTTTTTAAATAGAAGATCTAGATAGTGTGCACGTCATAGCTTTGCGGGGCACCTTATAAATCTTAACATCTTTTCTATATGCTGAGCAGTCGTGTCGCTCTCAGGTCTACGTTCACCATGCTGAACAAACAATCTGTTGTACGCCAGTGACCCTAAGTCATTGTTTCTTCACAGATCTCCCCCTTTTGTCTGTAAACAGTATCGGTGAAACACGCCCCTAGAGAAACATATTTGCCCTACTGTGAGTCCATCAGTCGAAGAGCATGTCTAACCTTTCAGTGTGACTTTTATCTACAGGAAAACCGTATCTACAAGAACTGTCTTTCACTGTCTTACACTGTTTCTACAAGAACGGATATCTCTTCACTGTCGAACAATTTATAAACAAGAACGGACACCTATCCAGTGTTATTTGCAATATCAATGCGCCTCTTATTTCCATGCGAGGTGTTCACATTTCGTTGTCAGGCCATACAAGTCTTCAAGTGTGTGACCCTAGCTGAAACTGTACTTATGTGTGTACATTGTCTATACGGTGGAGTACAGGTCGTTGTATGGCAACCTATATAGTAGTGAGTGAGTGAGTTTAGTTTTACGCCGCACTAAGCAATATTCCAGCTATATGGCGGCGGTTTGTACATAATCGAGTCTGGACCAGACAATCCAGTGATCAACAGCATGAGCATCGATCTGCGCAATTGGGAACCGATGACATGTCTCAACCATGTCAGCGAGCCTGACCACCCGATCCCGTTAGTCGCCTCTTACGACAAGCATGGGTTACTGAAGGTTCATTCTAACCCGGACCTTCACGGGTATGTATTGTAGTGAAAACAGATGGTTGTGCAGATACTGTTGAATGGCAAAACCTTGTACTGCGGTTGTTGTAGGACACCAAGGAGGGATGTACAAACTGTTGTATGAAAACGCATGAAGGAGTATCTGTGACACGTTGTGGTGTAGGTAGGGGTGTGTTGCAGTACATTTGGGTAGATGTCGCTGTATGACAACTCCTTATGTATAGCCTGCTGTCTATATATAGTTAGTGTTTACATGTTGAAGACTTTGCCTCTGGGACAATGCGCCTGTGTGAACCTTGTTAATCACTGACTGGCAGTTAATGTCCGAGGCCTTGCTATGTGATAATGTTTATACTGTCTAGCAGATGACATCGATCGGGACATAAATCAGTGATCGATCAGTATATCTCTCCAGGACAGGCTATACGGCTGATATCTCTGTAGAACGTTTAGACACTGACAGTTGCCTGTAGCTGGGAGACGGGTGACGAGATAGTCTGACGAAACCCTCTCCCTTACACTCCCAGACATGTCGTGGCTCACTGCCAGGTGGGGTTCGGGGTGATCCTGCCGCGTCCAACATTTAGCACAGTAGAGAGTGCTCATGACGTTGGCGTTGCTCATGTTCTGATTTTGTAGTTGGCTCTTTGTTTGGGTTTTTTTCCTTTTGTGAAAATATATTCCAGCTATATGTCGGCAGCCTGTAAATATTCGAGTTTTGACCAGGCAAGCCAGTGCTCAAGGCATGAACATCGATCTACGCATTTCGGATACTATGACTGACAACCCAATCCCGTTATCGCCTCCTACGACAAACATGGGTTGTTGAAGACCAATTCTAACCCGGGTGTCGATTTGTTAGTAGTTCAAGACGATGTAACAGCGGAAATACGGAAAGTTCTACCCCTCCCCTTCACACTTTCCTGAAGAGGCTTTACATTTCCTCGTCCACATCTACCTTCGACAGTTCTACCCTACCTTCACACTACCTTGAACAGGCTTTACATTTCCTCGTCCACATCTACCCTCGACAATTCTACCCCACCTTCACACTACCTTGAACAGGCTTTACCCTTCCTCGTCCACATCTACCTTCGACAGTTCTACCCCACCTTCACACTACCTTGAACAGGCTTTACCCTTTCTCGTCCACATCTACCCTCGACAGTTCTACCCCACCTTCACACTACCTTGAACAGGCTTTACCCTTCCTCGTCCACATGTACCCTCGACAGTTCTACCCAACCTTTACACTACGTTGAACAGGCTTTACATTTCCTCGTCCACATCTACCCTCGACAGTTCTACCCCACCTTTACACTACCTTGAACAGGCTTTACCCTTCCTCGTCCACATCTACCCTCGACAGTTCTACCCCACCTTCACACTACCTTGAACAGGCTTTACCCTTCCTCGTCCACATCTACCCTCGACAGTTCTACCCCACCTTCACACTACCTTGACAGGCTTTACCCTTCCTCGTCCACATCTACCTTCGACAGTTCTACCCAACCTTTACACTACCTTGAACAGGCTTTACATTTCCTCGTCCACATCTACCCTCGACAGTTCTACCCCACCTTTACACTACCTTGAACAGGCTTTACCCTTCCTCGTCCACATCTACCCTCGACAGTTCTACCCCACCTTCACACTACCTTGAACAGGCTTTACCCTTCCTCGTCCACATCTACCCTCGACAGTTCTACCCCACCTTCACACTACCTTGAACAGGCTTTACCCTTTCTCGTCCACATCTACCTCGACAGTTCTCCCCCTTGCCGTCCTCGGCTTCTCCTCACACGATACACGACCTCAGAGTGCAGAGTACCTCCAGTGCTGGCAAACCGGTGTCAATGAGGTGGGCTTTTTAAGGGTTTACGTGCAGTCTTATCGACAACTTAATGCTTCATGTCAATAGCAACATGCATATGACTTAGCGTGTCTGGGAGTATCTATAACTCGTTGGGCTCGGGGGACACATGCGTGCTGTCGTACCCTGATCAAGGCGCCCCAGTCTAGGCCGAGTCCGTTGTTGAGTCAGTGTTTCACTGCCTACGCACGCAGACCTTTGTGTGTCTTTGTGTTCAATTCAGCCTTTTCACTTGGTACAATTATCCAAATATTTTCAGTAATATTTCTGCTCCTATTAACATACCAGCAGAGTTGAAGTCCTGGTAGGGGACACATACATAGCATGGCGTGAGGTAAGTGGACCTGCTGTTACGATGGCAGTTTTCTTTTCGTTGTAAACCCTATCATCAATCACGGGCAGAATAATGTTGCCGTTTACATTATTTGTGTTAAGGAATGTCAATGTGCGAACAGCCAAAACATTAGCACTCCGAGATGTCAGCACGATTGCTCAATCCATTTTCATTAAGTGGCAAAAAATATCAAACATATGTTGTTTTTCGTGAAGGTTAGCAACAAAAATAACTGGTGTCGTTGCTAGGCAACTAATAGATTTCCACGTTGTTGATCATATCATATTTCATTTCCCCGACAATTGAAAAAAAGTGTTCAGGGAGATTTAACAAAAGAGCTCTTAAAGTCTTCTTTACACGTCATCTGCCGATTTGTAGTGAACAGAAGTCAGCACCAGGTGATGTGGTGTATCCAGTCTGGTGTGGAATACGTGTGTCCCTATCCATCCTTAAATATTATTCCTGTTAAACACATTGTACTTATCTTCGCGATAACAAATCTCATCATAAATATTGTACGTTCTACATCAATGCGTCGCGCCTCGTAGTGACCGTGTTCACCATGTCTGTCTCTTACCCCACACTGTACACCCTGTTTGTCTCTTACCCCTGTCTGTACATAATGTCTGTCTCATAGCCCTAGCTGTCTGTACACCCCGTATGTCCTTTACCCTTGTCTCTACACCCTGTATGTCTCCTACCACTGTCTGTACACCATGTATGTCTCCTACCCCTGTCTGTACACCATGTATGTTTCCTACCCCTCTCTGTACACCATGTATTTCTCCTACCCCTGTCTGTACACCCTGTATGTCTCCTACCCCTGTCTGTACACCATGTATGTCTCCTACCCCTGTCTGTACACCATGTATGTCTCCTATCCCTCTCTGTACACCCTGTGTGTCTCCTACCCCTGTCTATTCACCCTGTAGGTCTCCTACCCCTCTCTGTACACCCTGTATGTCTCCTACCCCTCTCTCTGTACACCCTGTATGTCTCCTAGCCCCTCTCTTTACACCACATGTATGTCTCCTCTACCCCTGTCTCTACACCCTGTATGTCTCCCTACCCCTGTCTGTACACACTGTATGTCTCCTACCCCTGCCTGTACATCATGTATGTCTCCTACCCCCTGTCTGTACACCATGTATGTTTCCCTACCCCCTCTCTGTACACCATGTATTTCTCCTCCCCCTGTCTGTACACCCTGTATGTCTCCCTACTCCCTCTCTGTACACCATGTATGTCTCCTACCCCTGTCTGTACACCATGTATGTCTCCCCTATCCCTCTCTGTACACCCTGTGTGTCTCCTACCCTCTCTCTGTACACCATGTATGTCTCCTACCCTCTCTGTACACCATGTATATCTCTCTTCCCCTGTCTGTACACCATGTATGTCTCCAACCCTGTCTGTACACCATGTATGTCTCCCTACCCCTCCCTCTGTACACCATGTATGTCTCCTAGCCCTGTCTGTACACCATGTATGTCTCCTAACCCTGTCTGTACACCATGTATGTCTCCTAGCCCTGTCTGTACACCATGTATGTCTCCTACCCCTCTCTGTACACCATGTATGTCTCCTACCCCTACCTGTACACCATGGATGTCTCCTACCCCTCTCTGTACACCATGTATGTCTCCTACCCCTCTCTGTACACCATGTATGTCTCCTACCCCTCTCTGTACACCATGTATGTCTCCTACCCCTCTCTGTACACCATGTATGTCTCCTACCCCTCTCTCTACACCCTGTATGTCTCCTACCCCTCTCTGTACATCATGTATGTCTCCTACCCCTCTCTCTACACCCTGTATGTCTCCTACCTCTGCCTGTACACCATGTATGTCTCCTACCTCTGTATGTACACCATGTTTGTCTCCTACCTCTGCATGTACACCATGTATGTCTCCTACCCTCTCTGTACACCCTGTATGTCTCCTACCGCTATCTGTTCACTCATGTATGTCTCCTACCTCTGTCTGTACACCCTGTATGTCTCCTACTCCTGTCTGTACACCCTGTATGTCTCCTACCTCTGCCTGTACACCATGTATATCTCCTACCCCCTCTGTCTGTACACCATGTATGTCTCCTACCTCTGTATGTACACCATGTTTGTCTCCCCACCTCTGCATGTGTACACCCATGTATGTCTCCCTACCCCTCTCTGTACACCCTGTATGTCTCCTACTGCTATCTGTTCACCATGTATGTCTCCCTACCCCTGTCTGTACACCATGTATGTCTCCTACTCCTGTCTGTACACCCTGTATGTCTCCCCACCTCTGCCTGTACACCATGTATATCTCCCACACCCCTGTCTGTACACCATGTATGTCTCCCTACCCTGTCTGTACACCCTGTATGTTTCCTACCTCTGTCTGTACACCATGTATATCTCCTACCCCTGTCTGTACACCATGTATGTGACTCCACCCTGTCTGTACCACCCTGTATGTCTCCCCATCCCTCTCTGTACACTCATGCATGTCTCCTCCTACCCCTGTCTCTACACCCTGTATGTCTCCTATCCCTCTCTACACTCTGTATGTCTCCCTATCCCTCTCTCTACACCCTGTATGTCTCCTACCACTGTCTGTGGCACCATGTATGTCTCCTACACCTGTCTGTACACCATGTATGTCTCCCTAGCCCTGTCTGTACACCATGTATGTCTCCCAACCTGTCTGTACACCCATGTATGTCTCCTACCCCCTGTCTGTACACCATGTATGTCTCCTACCCCTGTCTCACACCATGTATGTCTCCTCTGTCTGTACACCCTGTATGTCTCCTATCCCTCTCTGTACACCATGCATGTCTCCCTACTCTGTCTCTACACCCTGTATGTCTCCAACCCCTGTCTGTACACCATGTATGTCTCCCTACCCTCTCTCTGTACACCATGTATGTCTCCCTAGCCCTGTCTGTACACCCATGTATGTCTCTCCAACCCGTGTCTGTTCACCATGTATGTCTCCTACCTCTCTGTCTGTACACCCTGTATGTCTCCCCTACTCCTGTCTGTACACCCTTGTATGTCTCCCTACCTCTGCCTGTACACCATGTATATCTCCTACCCCTGTCTGTACACCATGTATGTCTCCCTACCCCTGTCTGTACACCCTGTATGTTTCCTACCTCTGTCTGTACACCATGTATATCTCTCCTACCCCTGTCTGTACACCATGTATGTGACTCCACTACCCCTGTCTGTACACCCTGTATGTCTCCTACCCTCTCTGTACACCATGTATATCTCCCCTTCCCCTGTCTGTACACACCATGTATGTCTCCAACCCCTGTCTGTGGCACCATGTATGTCTCCTACCCTCTCTCTGTACACCATGTATGTCTCCTAGTGTCCCTGTCTGTACACCATGTATGTCTCCAACCTGTGTCTGTGTACACCATGTATGTCTCCTAGCCCTGTCTGTACACCATGTATGTCTCCTACTACCCCTCTCTGTACACCATGTATGTCTCCCTACCCCTACCTGTACACCATGTATGTCTCCTACCCCTCTCTGTACACCATGTATGTCTCCTACCCCTCTCTGTACACCATGTATGTCTCCTACCCCTCTCTCTACACCCTGTATGTCTCCTACCCCTCTCTGTACATCATGTATGTCTCCTACCCCTCTCTCTACACCCTGTATGTCTCCTACCTCTGCCTGTACACCATGTATGTCTCCTACCTCTGTATGTACACCATGTTTGTCTCCTACCTCTGCATGTACACCATGTATGTCTCCTACCCCTCTCTGTACACCCTGTATGTCTCCTACCGCTATCTGTTCACCATGTATGTCTCCTACCTCTGTCTGTACACCCTGTATGTCTCCTACTCCTGTCTGTACACCCTGTATGTCTCCTACCTCTGCCTGTACACCATGTATATCTCCTACCCCTGTCTGTACACCATGTATGTCTCCTACCCCTGTCTGTACACCCTGTATGTTTCCTACCTCTGTCTGTACACCATGTATATCTCCTACCCCTGTCTGTACACCATGTATGTGTCCTACCCCTGTCTGTACACCCTGTATGTCTCCTATCCCTCTCTGTACACCATGCATGTCTCCTACCCCTGTCTCTACACCCTGTATGTCTCCTACCCCTCTCTCTACACCCTGTATGTCTCCTACCTCTGTCTGTATACCATGTATGTCTCCTACCCCTGTATGTACACCATGCATGTCTCCTACCCCTCTCTGTACACCATGTATGTCTCCTACCCCTCTCTGTACACCCTGTATGTCTCCTACCCCTGTCTGTACACCCTGTATGTCTCCTACCCCTGTCTGTACACCCTGTATTTCTCCTACCTCTGTCTGTACACCCTGTATGTCTCCTACCCCTCTCTGTACACCCTGTATGTCCCCTACCCCTGTCTTTACACCCTGTATGTCTCCTACCTCTGCATGTACACCATGTATGTCTCCTATCCCTCTCTGTACACCCTGTATGTCTCCTACACCTATCTGTTTACCATGTATGTCTCCTACCCCTCTCTGTACACCCTGTATATCTCCAACCCCTGTCTGTACACCATGTATGTCTCCTAGCCCTCTCTGTACACCATGTATGTCTCCGACCCCTGTCTGTACACCATGTATGTCTCCTAGCCCTGTCTGTACACCATGTATGTCTCCAACCCGTGTCTGTACACCATGTATGTCTCCTAGTCCTGTCTGTACACCATGTATGTCTCCTACCCCTCTCTGTACACCATGTATGTCTCCTACCCCTGTCTGTACACCATGTATGTCTCCTACCCCTCTCTGTACACCATGTATGTATCCGTTCTATTGATTTGTATTTATTTGTGAAATTACTTTATTTAGAATACAATAGTTAGTTGCAGCAGCATTTATTTGTTGTATGTTGGTTTTACGACTAGTTCTTTCACAGACTGATTCCTGGTTAACGTTTTCTTTCCACCACGGAACAATCTTTAATGGAATACATATGTTTAAAGATGTTAAGAGGAACATCTGACTAAGATTTTCACCACACTCCGTAGTGTAAACCTTGGTTCATCCGAAAACTTAACGTTTGCCCAACAACAAACATTGCTCCAGAGCTGCCGGGGACGGTGGGGTAGCCGAGTGGTTAAAGCGTTCGCTCGTCACGCTGAAGACCCGGGTTCGATTCCCCACATGGATAGAGTGTGTGAAGCCCATTTCTGGTGTCCTCCACCGTGCCGTGATATTGCTGGAATACTGCTAAAAGTGGCATAAAACCATACTCACTCACTCCAGAGCTGCCGCTCTTGACATCAACGATGTCTTCCAGTAATGTGTAACTGTGGGATAACACTTGGCCTTGGACATGCATGTTCCATCTGTTTAGCCTGTTACGAATCATCTGTCCTCTCACTGTGACACATGTAGTTCCGTGAAGCTTATCTCTGATTCGAGAGGCACTTTGAATTGTATATTTCTAAATACGGTTTAAGAATTGCAAATGGAATTTCTTTTCATAAAAATATTTTATTTCACCCCTATAATTCCCAGAATAGATCCAGAAAAATGCCTTCAAAATAGATCTCAAACTGCAGAATTCATTGCGAGTCATATCGGGATTTAATGTGTCTAACAGTTGTCTGAACTCGCATATAACACTTTGCTGTCATACCCCTGTATAATTCAAAATGAATACGGTTAAAAAATATAAATGCCCCAAGAAACGCCAGTGTGATGTGTTTAAAATCAAAGTTATATATGTAAATATATTCATTTGAAACTCATAGCTATTTAAAACTACATTATCTAAAAGTGCCGGAAAACCTACGTACAGAGCAACCTTCAAGCTGCACAAAGAAAACACTCAATTGAAGAGAGCCGTAATGTAAACAAACGCAAACGAATCTCTTTGAATCTCTAACTGTTCATGGACCTATCCTTATTAATAACTACAAATTAGTCAACACAGGTCTGTTAGCTATGTTCTTTGTAAAGTCAATATGACGATATATGTTTTTCACGATTTTTTAAACACAATAATGCCATAACCGCTTTAAGTACCCAGGAATAGTTTTATCAAAGTATCTCAATCCTTACGCGCATTCTGATTGGTGTTTAGTATATACCCACTTCACATACATTGATAAGGGGACGGGTCTTCTTAGAGATTAGGGAAAGGGGTAGGTGGTTACGAATGGCTATTGTACGCCAGTTCTCACACTTGGTCGACCAGATCAATAGAATTTTCCTATTGATAACATTATTGTAATCTTCTACATATATGTATGAATCACCAAAAAATATCACCACTTTTTTGTAATAGTATAAATGTACATATGTACGTGCATACATGCATATATCTATGTGTACTGAAACAATTTGTTTATGTGTTCTTGGTTTTCTTTCAGACTTTGAAAAACTACAGATCCACGAGAAGATTCAACGAAGCAGTCGTCATGCCAACAGCAGTGCCCCGTCCCTGGTCCACCCAGTACAAGGACACCTATAAGAGGAAGAATAATAAACGGGTGACTATCAAGGCCACGCCCATTACATACCCAACCCCTCCTCCCAGCAAGGTACGTCATGAGTTAAATATAGACGCCGGTCTTCGTTGTGCAAGACAATAACTCGGCCAAGTGCGACCTTATAGGTTCACATAGACCAGTACGTCAAGTGTAGGACATACTGGCCATATGCTCACCTCGACAAAATACGTCATGCATACAAATGTACTCATAATGTCTGTGCAGGTGTACAGATGCGTTCGTTATCTCTGAATGACGTAATGACGTGCCTCTGAATGTTCACTTTCGAACATTTGTATCATTTTACTGCGCTTCATTCAGTCTTGTTGTAACGGTTACCTCCCATGGATTGTGGTACAGATACCCAACTCTCTCGTGCAGATTTTCTGCATACTCTTGTATGAGGATATAGTTTGGGTTGTTTTGGTTTTGGTTGGGAGGGAGAAGTGCAGAGAAAGGGACAGCCAGGTGTGCGAGAAAGGATGGAGACGGCACAGCACAGGTTAATGAATCAATAACTTTGTGGGCACTTGTGCACGTGCTTCTCGAACACCTGGCTGTCCCTTTCACTGCACTCCTCCCTCGTAACAAATAGTGAACTGTGTCAAAATTTTAATGATAGTTTGTTAAACAACTTTTTTAATTTTAGGACATAAATTCTGTAAACAAATCACAGAGTTGGTCTGATGTTTTGATTATGATCAACTTTTCATTGAGTATTATATGTTTATTAGTTTTCGAGTTAGATTGCAATTCATCGGTCCGCTTTTGAGCCAAACGGACTATACGGTGTTAGTACAGGCTCATTATGTGTAATTGTTGTAGGGTCCATCGGGTGGTCATGTATCCCTCCTTCAAGCCAGGAGGTCTGCTGAACATCATTTCAAGGCGGATGGTGTACCCAGGGTGGTATACCCTGAGCAAGGTGAGATGGCATGGCACCACATCGGGCATGGTGGTGAGTTCGGCCTTGTTGCATAACAACACAACGTAATATAATCTTACATAGCATGACATAATCTGGTATTGTATACATAGCGTGATATAAACTGGTATCATAACGTAATATAATCTGGTATTGTATACATAGCGTGATATAACCTGGTATTATAACGTAATATAATCTGGTATTGTATACATAACGTGATATATAGAGAATACTACACTCGGTCTCATTACATACGAATTATACGAAACGAGTGTCCTTCCTATGGTATCTGACCGAGCGAAAGCGAGGTCAGATAACATAGGAAGGTCACGAGTTTCGTATAATTCGTATGTAATGAGACCGAGTGTGGTATTTTATTTATTACCCACGTCTTACATGCATTAAATTGACAAAATAGCGTATTTTTGTTAATGTTTTGGTTTCAAACCGAAACCGGTTTCATAAAGAGGTTGCGGAAGAGTTTTGTACTGTAGTACAATATTTGCATGACGTCACAATGTAATAACGTCACTGCCTTGGTAACCGACGTCACGATGCATGTCAGTTGTCATCGCCTCGTACAGCCTCCTACAGTAAACTACTCCGTAGCACCTCGTTTCTTGGTTTGCAGTTGCTTCATTCGGCTAACATCAATGGTGGAAACATTGCGTTTACGTTTTTCGACGGATATAATGTCTCAGTTCGACTCACAATTAAACAGCGACACGGCAACGTTCGCGATGTTTACATTCCCACAATGCATTTAAGTTGTAGAATGAATGAATTCACGTGTTTGTTATGAATGAAAAAATAGTTACGTCAGAATGTGACCTAATTGAGAGGTCATCGGTTATCCAATCAAATCGTTAGAATCTAAGGTCATAGAGAATACTACGCTCGGTCTCATTACATACGAATTATACGAAACGAGTGTCCTTCCATAGGAAGGTCACGAGTTTCGTATAATTCGTATGCTGATGCTGAACAGTATTTTATTTATTACCCACGTCTTACATGCATTCAATTGACAAAACAGCGTATTTTTGTTGTTTTTGGTTTCAAGCCAAAACCGGTTTCATAACGAGGTTGCGGAAGAGTTTTGTACTGTAGTACGATATTTGCATGACGTCACAATGTAATGACGTCACTGTCTTGGTAACCGACGTCACGATGCATGTCAGTTGTCATCGCCTCGTACAGCCTCCTACAGTAAACTACTCCGTAGCACCTCGTTTCTTGGTTTGCAGTTGCTTCATTCGGCTAACATCACTGGTGGAAACATTGCGTTTACGTTTTTCGACGGATATAATGTCTCAGTTCGACTCACAATTAAACAGCGACACGGCAACGTTCGCGATGTTTACATTCCCACAATGCATTTAAGTTGTAGAATGAATGAATTCACGTGTTTGTTATGAATGAAAAAATAGTTACGTCAGAATGTGACCTAATTGAGAGGTCATCGGTTATCCAATCAAATCGTTAGAATCTAAGGTCATAGAGAATGTACGCTCGGTCTCATTACATACGAATTATACAGAAACGAGTGTCCTTCCATAGGAAGGTCACGAGTTTCGTATAATTCGTATGCTGATGCTGAACAGTATTTTATTTATTACCCACGTCTTACATGCATTCAATTGACAAAACAGCGTATTTTTGTTGTTTTTGGTTTCAAGCCAAAACCGGTTTCATAACGAGGTTGCGGAAGAGTTTTGTACTGTAGTACGATATTTGCATGACGTCACAATGTAATGACGTCACTGTCTTGGTAACCGACGTCACGATGCATGTCAGTTGTCATCGCCTCGTACAGCCTCCTACAGTAAATTACTCCGTAGCACCTCGTTTCTTGGTTTGCAGTTGCTTCATTCGGCTAACATCACTGGTGGAAACATTGCGTTTATGTTTTTCGACGGATATAATGTCTCAGTTCGACTCACAATTAAACAGCGACACGGCAACGTTCGCAATGTTTACATTCCCACAATACATTTAAGTTGTAGAATGAATGAATTCACGTGTTTGTTATGAATGAAAAAATAGTTACGTCAGAATGTGACCTAATTGAGAGGTCATCGGTTATCCAATCAAATCGTTAGAATCTCAGGTCAAGTCGTTACGACACAGGTCAACGCGATACGACACTCGTGTGACGTACGAGATTAGTATGCAACTACCCATACGTTGACCTCGTGGGTAATAAAAGTCGTTACGACACAGGTCAACGCGATACGACACTCGTGTGACGTACGAGATTAGTATGCAACTACCCATACGTTGACCACGGCGGTAATAAAACCTGGTATTATAAAGTAATATAATCCGGTAGTGTATACATAACGTTATATAACCTGGTATTATAACGTAATATAATCTGGTATTGTATACATAACGTGATATAACCTGGTATTATAACGTAATATAATCTGGTAGTGTATACATAACGTGATACAACCTGGTATTATAACGTAATATAATCTGGTATTGTATACATAACGTGATATAACCTGGTATTATAACGTAATATAATCTGGTATTGTATACATCACGTGATGTGATCTGGTATTGTATACATAGCGTGACATAACATGGTATTATATACACAACGTGATATGATCTGGTATTGTATACACAACATGATATGATATGGTATTGCATAAACAGCGTGATATAATCTGGTATTGTATACACAACGTGGCATAATCTTGTATTGTATACATAACGTGATATAATCTGTATTGTACACTAACTTGCGTAATATAATCTGGCATTATATACATAGCGCGAAATACATCTGGTTTTGTATACTAACTGGCGTGATATAATCTACTGTGTGAATAGTGTGCTATAATCTGGTATTTGGCACTAATATAACGTTGTAATGTATTATAATTGGCGTGGAATAACGTAGCGTAGTTTCAATATTTAGGTTCTTTAGGCAAACTATGTGAATGGCGGGTGCTACTGATCTTGTACGACACCCTTTTCGCGAACACCTGGTGTTATCATTGATGTTTAGTGATTTATCCATATGCCCACTGGATGATAAATTATCACTGTAGTATTTTCACATGCGCAAACCCATTTGTAACTTCAGATGATTACTTCTTCCACAAACAGAACCTTTCCGGTAACGTTGACAACAAATATAACTGTGGTACCGTTGCATAGTGTGACTGTAAGTGCTCTCGCCTTAGACGAATTTCGCTCTTCAGGATGGCACTAAGATAGCATGTGAGTCATATCCTACAACATTATTGTCAGTTGATAAGAATCATACCAAATATAAGGTAATCAAAATAGGTAAAACTTACCGAATTGAATATATGCAGGCAGTGTATTGATTAAGTAATAATCATTTAGTGCAAGTAACGAGGAGCTATACCGAAACGGATTGTAGATTCTGTCGCAAGTGCAACATGCATGATCAGTAGATGTCACGCTGGGATTGTGTGACAATTGCCTGTGACATATTATGACGCATTTTCTGACTGCGTCTGTGCAGTACCAGCATGTAAAATGATCAGGTGTTTCCCATTTCCTTTGGGGCATCAAACTGATCGTTTGGAAGCTACTGTAGTCAGTAGCATGGTTCATGTTTTACCCATCACCTGTGTACGATATTCGTCAATTTCCCTAACGTTGTTTAACGATGGAAGTGGGTTCACGACACAAGCGACGGTTATCTCCCCTCTTGCTCTTACAGGCTTCAGATTGCACGTCCTGCCCTTTGTACTGATGATATGGTCTCTGAATCTGAATCTCTGAATCTGAATCCCTGGTTTGTTTGTTGGCAATATTTTGGACATTAGATTACCATACTCCTTAAGACGTTGCTGTTGTACACGAACAAAGATAATAACGGGGTGTGTTGCGCCTCTTCTCCAAATCAAATTGATTGAAACGTTTCACATGTGTTTCAGTCATTAGTGAAAGATTAATTCGGTAAGCTACTAATAAGAAACACATAAAGCATTGTACTGTTGAATGGTCTAATCTTACATTTAGATATTCTGAACGTTTTTTGACCTATAAATACGCTTATATTATAATTATGCCATGTATATGTTTCCAACACAGTCCTGACATATTCACTTAGGGGAGGTTTCGGTGTTCAAAGGCGTTCAAATCATTGACAAGAAATATGTTTAGGATCTTGTACTTGTATCTCTGAGAGAGCCAGTCTGGTCAGTGTGATTGGTTTCAATCATTAGCTAGACATTCTGTTTGTTTGTTTGCTTGCTTGCTTGTGGCAGCACGCAGCACTATTCCTGCTATCCACATACGCACAGGGACAGCTTAGATTCTTTGCATGTACATACATGAGCATTAATCAAGCGCCATACACGTTTTCTGCGATAACTGCGAAACACTACACGTTGTAATATCTGCTTTGAAAACCAAATTCGAAATTAAAATGGTAACTGTAACATATTTTAATCTGATTAAAAGAATATAAAATTGAAATTGAAATATGGTAATAATTTACTTGCAATCTGACAGGAACACACAAACCGTGAATATTAACAATGAAGGAAAGTAGGATGGCCACGACTACGCCAACAATCTGATTGTCGCACCACTGGCGACCTCGTTAGTACCTTTTGTTGCCACCCCTCGCACAGATAACATCTGCCAGTCTCCTCCTCACACTGGCAATCGGGCATCATCTTCTCAGCATCGTGATCCTCTGCCATTCCTCATTTAGTGCTTATGTCAGTTGTGCAGACTTTGAACAAGAGGATCTCCAGCTCCAAGACGGTCCCAAAGATGTTCGATGGGGTTTATATCGAGGATCTTTGTGGGATATGGTAATGTTTCGATGGCGTTGTTCTGCAAATGGCGATGACGGCTCGAGAACGGTGAGGTCTAGCCTTGTCGTCCGTGAATATTGGTTATCAAAATGTTGCACGACGACGGTATCCCTTACTTACTGTTGATGATGTTGCCCATTGAGATCCAATTCCCGAAATGCATCCGAACATAATCATCGG